ACTTTGCCACTATTTCTTTCATTTTCTTTTCTTTTATACTTTTATGAGTAAGACAACTAGACTTTGCAAAAACCTGTAAAAAGTAATTAATTTTATCAAAGAGTCAAATTTTAGCTTTAAGCGTAGAAAAATTTGGTTTGGAATATATAATATGAATACTTGATAAACTGAAGTCACTAGAAATAAAGGTTTTAAACAACCAGAAATATTTATCTAGAATTTGTTTTGAATTCAAAGAAACGAAATATTGATTCTCTTATTACTTTAGAAGTAATAAAATTTATTTTGCCAATGAATATTTAAAATAATGTTTTAATTCCATCATATTAACCGTGCACCCCATTGTTCATTTTTAAGAGAAGTCAGTCTTTCTTTTTTCCAGTATTAGTGATAAAACCTATTAGCACTGCTCACTGAGCTATATCCCCAAATCTGTTTTTAAAATTAATTAATTAATTAATTAATTGTGTGTGTGTGTGTGTGTGTGTCTGTGTGTGTGTGAATGTCTTGCTAAGTCCCCAAGGTTGTCCTGTTGGAATGGAATTTGTGAACTTCCTCTTCAGCTCCCTTGCATGCTAAGATTACAGGCATGCACTACCACACCCCAGTAAATCCAGTCACTTTTAAATGGATACAGCATTCAAAATCTCTAACTTCTTTAAAACTAAGGATTTAATGTCCTAGCTTTTCACAAACTCCATTTCTATTCTTCCTCAGTAGGAGGAGAGAAATTAGGCCATAGTTACCTATCAGAGAACAGCATTCCTTTGCTCTGTTATAGCCAGGTGTGGTCATGAGCCTGAATTTTCAAGATGAAATATGACCTAAAGTAATATGTGCAATTCACAACTCTATTGAAGAAATCTCTGGAAGTAGACACTCATTTTCTCCTTTCCACTAACTAAAGTGGAAATGAATACTATTATTTTGAAAAAAAATTTTGATGGTGGCAGTCCCTGTGTCAGCCCAGGTTTCTGAATGAATGGACAGAGAATGACATGGAGAAAAATCACTGCCTGCCTGATACCCTCATCTTAGTCTGTTATCGTAGCGAAATACCTGCTTTTTATAAAAACTTAAACTACCCTAGTAATATGATTATTTATTTGAAGTTTAATCGATCACTCTGATACACACACACACACACACACATATATTTAATTATTTTACAAAAAGAAAGGTATTTTAGTCTTCACAGCACCGTGAACTAGCATAGGAACATTGCCATATTAATGACTGAACATAAAAGGCAAATATCATGCAAAAAATATTCTACCATGAATAAGGTTTTCAGAAATTACAAATAAAAATATTGCAACATAAGTGAAATTTTAATATGATTAATTTTATGTAATAAGTTGTTTTAAACCAACATAATAACTGAAGAAGATAGACATCAGCCTCAAGATTTTGTAGTATATTCATGCTTCAGTTCAAATTCAAACTTATATAAACATATATTTCAGTTATTTGTATTTATCCACAAAGTAGAATATTCTGCCTTTAGTTTGCATGGCTTTTTATTACTCAAATTTCCTGGGTGTCTGATAGAAAGCAAAACAGTCTGTTTTCAGTGTTCAAGTACTACTGAATGTATAATGATTCTTAGGTAGGATTCTATTCTTAAAAAGTGGGATACAAGATATCCAAATTCTCCTTATAATTCAGAATACCAAATGAATTGAGACAATAAAGAGCAATTCTGCAGAACTTCTGGAAGGTCAAAATTCTCCCACATGTATTCTTGTGACTGCTGTTAATTTTAGCACCAGATAATTGGTTAGTTTTTGTTTACTCAGTTAACAACTCTATTAATAGAATTTATTTGCAATTAGTAGTTATATGCAGAGATTGTGTGAAATGATACATTATTTACTGAACAGAAAGGACATTTATATTTTTAAAAAGTGGTACAAAAGAACACTTAAAAGAGAAAGTTATATGAGCAAAGTCCTGACTTGATCCTTGGCCTTGGTCTTTGTACCATAATATTTTATAAAAGAAATAACAAGCAGTATGATAGTTCCAGCAGTCTGGCAGCATACTTCTATTAATAAGGAAAGGAGTTCCAAATAAAAGCCCAGAAAACCAGGACACCTTTTAGGTAAAGTGTTACTCATTACATCACTTATTCTTTTTCACAGTGTTCCCAAAGAATGGCTATACTCAATATAAGAAGTTTTAGAGAACAAAAGTGAATTCTGTTGGGCTGAAATTATGAGGGATTTTTTTTTAACCACATGAAACAAAATAACATTTTTGGTAAGCAACAGACCTAGTGGTAACATTAGTGAGAAGCATAGCAGGTGAGTTCATACTCATCTAGGTTCTTGAGAAAGAAAAAATTTAAAAATTAAGAGAAGTTTTTCCAAATGCAGAAAATCATATGGCTTGTAGCAAATTGGAGTCCATAGGTTACCATACTAGCAAAAAAGGATTTGGTAATACATGAAAGAGGGAATAACTTTTTAAAGCATAATAACTAATATTTTTAATTGTTTTATATACAGAATGGTCTTTATATCTTCTGTGGAGTAATTATATTATATAATTAAATTTTATGCTGCAGTATTTTAATGACAGCTTGTTATAAAAGAAAAAAAATCTACTTGGTTCCCTGTGGTAATTATTTCAAGATGGATCCCTCACCTACCTCATCCCTCAACTCCTTGGTTTAAAACCTGTAGATAGTTCATTGAAACTACAGTGCAATAAAATCCAAATTCTAAAACATGATTTTGACCTCTATAATTTGAAACTTCCATTTTTCTTGCACCTGGATTAGTATTATCGTTCAACTTTCAATTTGTCTTCACATATACTAAGCTACTAAAAAGATTCTAGAATTCAATGTAGACTCCAACATCTCTTATTTATACTTTTTTACACAAATTGATTTTTGAATTGGGAACATCTGTCGATGTTAATGTGGATTGGCTAATCTAGTCTACTTAGCCTGTAAATTAGAGCTCAAAAACTGTGTTAATCATCTTCAAACATACGTAAGTATGTCTTCAACATGCTTTCTATGTAGCATGACCTCATTCCTGTTATGTTTTAATTGTATGATATATTTTTCAGTTATTTGCTTGCATTTACAGGGCTGTGAGCCTTTGTAAGTAATGAATTCATGAAAATGAAGTGAAATTCAAACTGCTGTATTGCATGAGTAGTGGTGATTGTATAGAAGTATAAAAACAAGGTTTTTGTATCACCAGTGGTTTGGCATTTGGAAACGAGGTCTTTGGGAGAAAATTAGATTTAGATAAGATTATGAGGATAGCACGTTCATCATGGGACTTGTGTCCTTATAAAGACAGACAACAAAAAGTTGTCCTTCTATGCCATGTCAAGGCACAGCAAGAACTGAACATAGAACTGAAAGAGAACCCAAGGCTGACTACATGCTGGCATCCTGATCCTAGACTATTGACTGTCAGCCACCATAACTGAAGGAAAGTAAATTTCTGTTGTTTATACCACCCAGGATACTGTATTTTGTTATGTCAACTTGAATTCACTACCTGAGACACACACACACACACACACATATATGTAGTTGTGTTTTATAATATACAGTGATACCTTAGTTTCTCAATTATCAAATGGCTCCAAGTTCAAACTTTCCACTACTCCAACAGCAGTTTGAAAAAAAATCTGTTCTTGGTGTTTTTGATTTTGCTCGATAGTCACACCAAAAATTCAACTTCAAAAAATTGTTTGGGCTGAGAGTGAGAAACTCCTTGAGTCATTGACACAAAGGTGTGACACTTCAATCTAAATGCTGTTCTCACCCAGACAACATATAATGTCTGTGTTAGTGTATTAAAACATTTGTCATTGTGCGTTTTTGGCACCTTATTTGTATAAAATATAACCAAAGCTCCAAAGAAAGTCAGAGATATTATTGCAGATAGATAAGTTAGTCAGAAATTAGTATAAGACATTTAGACAAGGCTGGGCCCTCAGCATAAAAAACAATTGAGGCACAGTCATTGGTTAGCATTATAAAGAGGAAAGGTACTGCACTTACCTACTTCTACTGGGGATAAGTAGCAGTAATTGATAATTCTAAACAGGTATCAATCTCACTAGCCCATTTCCTTTCCAGAAATTTCTTGTGTGACTTCTTTTCCCATTTGATCCTCATTTAATCAATACTACCTGGGTGCCTACCTTTGTAATCTAATTGGTTGATCATTGTTTTCTCACACTTCATGCCCACCTTGTGATTTTCCATTGGTTCTTTTAGTTTTGTCCCACTTTATATACTGCTCACTTCATAGCTTTGCCCCATAAAACAACTTTGAGAAGCATGGTGGGAGGGCAGCCCACTTTCTGGTCCCCCTTTTGTCTCAGACAGAAGCTATCTTTCCTACTCTTAACCTCTGTTGTTTCTAGAATTCATTCTTCCATTTTAGAGAACATGAACTCATGTTTCAGGTATCTAGTATTTGGGAGTTATAGTATTTCCTTTGTTTGGATTATTTTGAATATTTGGATCATTTGCTGCCCTATATCAATACCAGCAGTAAAACTAAGAGGAAAAGTATGAGAACCACGATAGAATTAAAGAAAGAAATCATTCTGAAATTTGTTAAAGTCCTGGAAAAATGAATTTATAAGTGTAATTTTGGGCACTCAGGATCCATTATTTTGTTTTCCATTATTTCTTTTGGGAAAAATATGTTCAGTTCCAGAACTTTTTCATGTTTGAACAAGAATTTGGAACTCATCAATTGTTGAACTAAATTTGTTATATATATATATGTATACACACATTAATTTATAATATATATAATGTATACACACATAATATACACAATGTGTAGATAAACTCTTAATTTGTTTTATATATACATATATATATATACACATTAAACTAAGTTCAAAATCTTGAAGTAGAATTGGAAGCTTGTGTCACTCATGTCACTGAGTCTCTCCCACATAACAATTTACTAAACCCCTTGTGTATTTCAAAATCTAAGAGGAATCAATACCTATATTCCTCTTGTGTGAAGCGTGGGATTTCTCCAGGATGTAAGACAAGAATTTTCACTGTGGTACTGCTGGACATCACTGGCTCACCATCATCAAAAGCAACAACTACCAACTTAAAAAGAAATAAAAATTTATGTTAAGAATTACAAGCAATAGAAACTAAAACCATCCTTTGTATCTATATGATATTTATCATTAGGCAGCTGGTGCCCAGAGAGGCAGCACTGAACATGCCGATGAGATAGTAGACATAACACAATACATCTACAACCTTTAATCTTCATAACAATCCAACCATGTAGGTGTTGTTATTTTATTTGCAAGAAAAAAATTCAAAGAAATTAATAAATTATTAAAAATAGAAAAATGTACCAATAAAACAGGTATATACTATTATATCTAAGTATAAACTCTTGTACAATCTCTCTGCTGTCTGCAGTACAGATGTATACTTTTATAGTAAAAACACTCTTATTTAAAAAGTGTTAAATTCAGCCAACATCAATAACAAAAAGCTAATTGGCTTGCTTATAAAAAGAAATTAATTTTTCCAGTGAATTAATTGTAAGATTAGAGGGTAGAAATATTTCACTCTAGAGGATAAGACTGAAAGTTTTAACAAACTTTGTTATTTAATCTCTTAAAATAATTAAACCATATAAAACCAAGTTCATATGGTATACCAGAAATTATGCAGATGATACAAACTAAAGAGTAGCTTTATTCTTACAATGTGATAACTGTCTATTTAAGAACTGCAATTATCTTTTAAATTTATCATGTTCTTTAATAATGTATATAACACTAATAATTCTAATATTTATATTAAAACATTAAATATTTTCAAAATTATGAGTTTCCATGTAATATGTATTTTTATGAAAGGTGCAGGTTAACTAACGTTATTCAAACTAGATCATGGAAACTTAACCAAAGATTATCCAGAGAGCCACAACTCACAACTTAACTTTTTGCTTACTAACAGTTAAGTAGAACAGTGATTCCAAACAATTATAAAATCATGTGAGACATAATACTCATTATATTCAGGTTAACTATAAAGGTATTTCCCTAGTATATTTTTCAAAGGCCATATTTACAGTGACAAAAATTATTCTAAGCCACTATAAAAAATAAAAATGTTCAAACATGTAATGTAATGTATTACTGATGATAATGGATAATATTTTTTCAATATTTCTTCATATGTGGAAACAGGAATTGAGTACTATTATAAAATTATCTGAAATTTAAAAATTATAAAATATATGAAAAACAAAAGATGTAATATGTTCTATTTCGCAAGTAATTAAAGAACAGTAAAACTTAAGAAAAATCAAATAGTTATAGCTGTTTCTTTGACAGACAATACAAAATTAAAAATAAAGTATGCAGGGTTGAGTGGTATTTTTTCACAATTTCTAGACAGATAATACTTCAAGAGTACATGAGCTTGATTTGGCAATTCTGCATGTGGGTATTTATCTTAAAAAAATTAGCAAGTAACAAATGGCAGAGCCACAGTTTCAGAACAGCAGATTTTACTTTTAGAAAAAATTAAAAAAAACAAAAAACAAAAAACAAAAAGAAAGTTTTCTTTTAAAAAGAAAACTATAATGGTATATTCATACAGTGGAACATAATGAATTCTTTAAAACACTTATACTACTTATAGTATTGATAGTATGAGAAATACATTACTGAGTTAAAAATCTAAACAATATGTTATTTGAAAATATCTATTTGCATACGTGTATTTGTATGGAATACCTTCATAAGAATAGACAGCAAAATAGTACCAGTTCTGTTATCTTCAAAATTTAAAGTGTCAAGTGATTATTTTTCTTTTTACTGTTTTTCTAAGCTTGTTTTACAAGAAAGTAGTGATTTTTACTTTTAAAAAATTAAGAGAGAAAAATTGAAAAAAAAGACACATACTAAGCCAAGCTCTAATCAAAAGTTAACTCTTAATATTAAATAGACAACATAAAAAAAATGAAACACTGACCTTAAAAATTGTTGTAGGTTCTTCGTTGAGATTGACGCGAGTTATTACTCTTCCAGAATCTTCTTCTACGTCGAAAATACTGGCAGGGTAAGGAAACTGTACATCATCTACTCTGTACCTCACACGACTTGCCGGTAACCCCTAAAATCAAATTATATATTATGAATTTTACTGTGCAAAATGAATACAAAAGGTACTCATTAAGTTAAACTGAGTTTTTAAATGACTGTCTTTTAAGAAATGTAGGATATTTTGTGATATTATATTTTCAGGATTAAAACATAGCAGTGTCTATAGGTTATTTTAAGATGATTTACATAATTGAAACAAATTAATGATTGCTTTGGGCTTCTTTCTTTCTACTTTCCTTTTATTATGTGAATTGCATCTTCTTCTCCAAACACACAGTGTCTACTGATATTTTCTCTCTTAACAAAAGCATATAATTTTTAATTATACAGTACTTGTTTCAACTCTGTAATAACGAAAGAATGACAAAAGGTGTTACAATGAGGGAAACGCATGAAAAGGGATTAAACTAAAATTATTTATCATCTACTATGGCTGATCATTGTTGGCCCTAAACTACCCCGTTGTGGTCTCTTAACCTGGGTTTCTATTCATCAAGCCTTCCTAGAAACATAAACATAAAAACGTACAAGATCCCTCCAACTTACCCATTCCCAGGCTCCAGCTCTGTCCCCAACTCCAAGGGCAGCCTAAGTCTCTGCTTCAGACCTCCCCCAATGTTTGCCATTAATAAAATTTTCTTCCTCCATTGTTCGTCTCTGAGTCTTAAATCCACCAAAAGTGATTGGGTGTCCTGTTTTCTTGATAATTATTTGTTGGGTGCTTTCATAATCACTTGACTTTACAACAATCCATTAGGATAATATTAGTAATGAAGATGATTGTAAATATAATAAAATAAATGATATCTAACATTTGTTGAATGTTTGCTGTTTACTGAAACAATAATAAAAATGATATATGTGTGCTCTATCACCCATTTTATAGCTAATCAATTTGAGACTTACAGGGAGATAAGAATGCTACATTGCTCCAGAGACAGATCAAGACAGAACACCAAGCAAAAGATTGATTTTTAAAGAAAGAAAATAATATTGAATAAATTTTAAATAGTACAAAAATCATTATGTGGGAAGACTCAAAAGTTGGTTGGATGTCCTCCCTTAATTAAGTGCTTAGATTGGTTTTATTTTTAATTATATAAAGTGACAACAGGGGAAGCATTATAATCTCTTCAGATCTTAGGTTTATAAATCTCTGAAGCACTGGAAGTAATAAACCCAGGCACAGAAGCATAACTAAGTGGTAGAGCCTTACTTTAAATTCAGTCATATTACACCACAAAATTCTTTATACAAGAGAAAATATAAAAGCAAAAAAATCTACTTGACCCTAGTATCGTGTAGTAGAAATAATGATATCACTCCCATAGGCTGGTGATTTGGATGGACTTAATGCCACTTTACAAGAACTATGATTTTGATAATACTTTTGTTTGCTTTATTGTTCTTCTGTGTGTCTGTATACAGGTCTTGCTGGTTGAACTCACAGTTAACCTTATAATAAAAATGTTAGGCTTCAGGACTTACTTAATATTTTATTTATTATCTGTCAGTCCAGTCATTTAATATACTGCATATCACAGTTTACCACTACTCACTGGAGCACATTTTTAAATTACATTTTCTTTTTCACTCTTGTGCTTCCTATCTGGATGTTCAGACTCATACCTTTTACTTGCTTCCATTCCACTAAAATGCTGGAATTTGTCAAGGCTCTGTCATAGGCGCTTCTATTTTTCTCTATGTCTCCTCAAGGCCTCAAAGACCTATCTTATTCTTTTGCTTTTAAATACTTTCTATTCATTCAAATGCCCCAATTTTAATTTCTGACTAAATTATCAATTTTTAAAAAGCATGTTAATTTATATAAGTGTCAACTACACATTTTACTTTCAATCTCATGTATTTGAACTAGAATCCTGATTTCTCTTCCCAAATTTCTACCTCCTTCACTTTAGATAAATGGCCTCATATTTTAGCAAAATGTATTATGTCAAATCCTAGGAATGATCATGGATCCCTCCACTCTTTCTCATGCTTCATAAACAAAACATTACAATATCCTCCAATTCTTCAACCAATGGGTGCTCTGAACACTTCTCATCCTCTAGAGCCACCTCTTCCTTGTAATGGACTCTTAATTGACTCTTGGCTTCAATTTTATTGACATTGGTTTTTGGGGTTTTTTGTTTTTTTTTTTTTTTTCGGTACCAGGGATGGAACTCAGGTCCTTGTGCTTGCACACCAGGCAGCAAAACCACTAAGCTAAATCTCCGGCCCTTGATACTGTCTTTTAAAAATATAATCTATCTCATAAATACTGAATGAAATCTCCAGTGCTTTTCTATAACATACAAAAATATCTAGACTCCTCACTATGGGCTATTAGATCCTAAAGACATCTTTTTTCTGCCTCTCTAACTTCAACTCCTTGCTAATTTCCCTTTCACACACTGTCCTTGTTCCTGCATTGTAACTATTGCCTGATTCCTGTTACACATATCTCCTAGGTTTTCAGCTATTAAATTTATCGACCTCTTTTTCAGGATCTCATTAATACCTACCTCTAAATTATTTTTCTTCAGCAACCCTTCCTGAAATTATAGCACATGTTTTACGTATTTACTGTTTGTCAAGGATGCCCACACACTATGAAAGGTATTTAAAATATTCACATATTGCAAGATTTCTGAACTAGAGATCATTGGAGAATTCTTGAGAAAATGTTATAGGTACTGTCAGCTCTGGGGTGACATGTACAGATGGGCCAAAAATTGCACTTAGTTTGTGGTCAGTTCAACCACGGAGGAAATGTTGAAAACAAATTATATTTACTAGAAAAAGCATCCTCCATATAGATAGCATTAGATTCCTTATAATCATATATGACAGCAACTTTGGCTTTGTTTACTTTATATGTTATTTTAATAGATTCTTTTAACATTGTTGCTATAAAAGTGCCACATTTCAAGTACTGTGCTCCACAGGAGTAGTGATATAATACTGGAATGTAAGCCAGAGCAATCAGACCAGACAAAAAATAAAAGGGATATGTTCAGGAAACAAAGAAGCTAAACTGTCTCCTTTGCAGACTACATGATCTTTTACATAGAAGACCCAAAAAATTCCAGCAAGAGACTCCTAAAACTAATAACCAAATTCAATAGTGTAGAAGGATACAAAATTAACAACAAAAATTTATAACATTTCTGAACACCAATAATGAACCCACTGATGAATAAATTAGGAAAACAATTCCATTCACAATAGCATAAAAAATATAAATACCTTGCAATTATCCTAATACAGGATAAAATGAAAACTATAAAACTTTATAAAAGGAGATCAAAAAGGACATCAGATAATGGAAAGATGCCCTTGTTACTGGATAAGAACTAATATTTTCAAAATGGCCATACCACCAAAACTAATATACAGACAGTGAAGTCTCAATCAAAATACCAACAATATTCCTCACAGAACTAGGTAAAACAATTCTAAAATTCATATGGATCCAGAAAAAACTCATAATACCAAAGCAATCCTCAGCAACAAGAGCAAAGCAGGAGGCATCACAATCCCTGATTTGAAGTTATATTACAAAGCTACAGTGATAAAAACAGTATGGTACTAGCAGAAAAACAAACATGTGGATCAGAGGAACATAATAGAAGATGCAGAAACAACTCCAGTCACATTTATCCACCTGTTCTTTGATAAATGGCCAAAAACATACACTGAAGAAAAGATCTTTAGGATCTCCTCAACAAATGGTCCTGAAAAAACTGGCTATTCACAAGCAGAAGACTGAATATAGATCCATACTCTTCACAATTTACTAAAATAAAATAAAAATGGATCAAAGACTGAAACCTTAAAGAAGAAACAATCTGCTAGAAGATAAAGGAAGTAAAACTTGAAGACATAGACAGAGGCAAAGACTCTGAACAGAACCCCAAAGGAACAAGAAATGTCATCAAGAATTAATAAATAGGATCTTATCAAATTAGAAAGCTTCTGCATGGCAAAGGAAACAACCAATAGAGCGAAGAAACAACCAACATAATGGAAAAAAAGTTGTGCCAGCTATTCCTCAGACAGAACACTAATGTCTAGAATCCCCCCAAATAAAAGACCAAGTCAAAAAATGGGCAACAGAAATGAAAAGAGACTTCTCAGAAGTAGAAATGGCCAATAAATATGAGAAAAAAATGTTCAACATCTCTGGCCATTTGAGAAATGGAAATTAACACTGAGATTCCATTTTACTTCAGAAAGAATGGCTATCAGCTGGATGTCATGGCACATGCCTGTAATTCCAGCACTTGGGAGGCTGAGGCAGGAGGATTACTCAAATTTAAGGCCAGCCTGGGCACCATAGTGAGTTCACATCCAGCCTGAACTACCTAGCCAGACCCTGTCTCAAAATTTATTATATATTAAAGACAGAGCCTATCTCAAAACCAAAACAAACAAAAAAAACCTTAAAAGAATGGATATCTTCAAGAAATCAAATAACAACAAATGTAGGTGAGACTGCAGAAGAAAAGAAACATTTCTATGTTGTCGGTGGGAATGTATTCTAGTGCAACCACTATAGCAATCAGTATGTAGATTCTTTAAAAAGCTAAAAGTAAAAATTCTGATGGACTAGCTATTTTCTTTCTAGATATGTTTCCAAAAGAATCAAAGTAATACATGCATACCCATTTTTACAGCAGCAGAACTTATAATAGCTAAATCTTGGAAGTGGCCTGTACATCCATCAACCGATGACTGGATAAAGAAAATGTGGTACTTATATACAATGGAGTATATTCTGCTATAACAAAGCATAAATCTGAGTCATTTATAGGAAAATGAATGTGCCTTAAGTCCATAATGTTAAATTAAATAAATCAGATACACAAGCTTAAATATCACATGGCTTCTCTTATATGAGAAATCCAAATTATAAATAATTTAAAAAGCAAAATAAAATAAAAATAATAAGGAACAGGGAGATAAATCTTTTGCAATTGGTAAGGGGAACAAGAGGTAGAGGGAGGG